ACTTAGCTGCAGTGACTGACCATTTTTAATCAGAGTGGTTGTATTTGCTCACTTACTCTCCAGCTGCCGTTAGTAATCTGACTCTTTAACACCAGCGTGATGGTTTCCCTGCCTCTAGTCCAGGCCTCCCAGCAGCATCCATCAAAGGGAAGAGTAGGTGACTGTCCAGCTGATTTGCAGCAGCTGGTAAAAGTTTTAGGCTACTTCATTCCAAAAAAGATGTGAGCCCTTCCCCTCCCCCGGCCCTGAGCCCAGGAGGCACCTTTTGGAGGAGTGCTTTCTGCATAACTACACTTCGCATGAAGGCAGCAGGGTGCTGGGCACCTTTGCTGCTGGGAAATGCGACAGGGTTGAAGGGGCTGGGGAATCGCACTTACAGCACAGCAGATGGGGCGGAAGGACATCAGGCGCTCGGTGTGGTAGGCGTTGCTCCCACTCCAGGCATCCCACCGTGGGTATTCTCCCCTTTCCAAGATAAACTGCTGCCCGCAGAAGCTGGTGTGCTCATAACCGATCCAGCTGCAACGATAGAGCAGAGCTCCATAGCTCCTCCTGGGGCAGCTCCGGGCCTGGAGTCCGGGCCCCAGACACGCGGGGGGGAAGCAGGCAGGCCTGCCCTGGCCGGCTCCACCATCGTCTGTGTCACTCAGGGAGAAGGGCCCAGAAAATCCCCGTGGGCTCCCTCGCTGCCAGAAGAGAGAGACCACCAGGCGTGGCCCCAGCCGCCTCCAGCTGTGCTGTCAGGTCTGGCTGGCTGCAAGCTGTTGCTTCTCCTGGGCGGGCTGCCCGAGGGGAATGGAGCGCGCATGGCACCCGGGGCTGCTAGCTGTGCCCAGGGTCAGGACAGGCCCTGCTCTGATAGTCACCTGAGCTGGAGGCCGTATGGCACCGAGCTGCGTGCGTTCGTGCCAAGGGCCCGCACGGCTGTGCCAGGCCTGCCCTGTGTAAGTGACTGCAGGTTGGGCCAGGGATTGGCCAGGCTCACTACACATGCCTGGGTGTCTTCATCACGCGGGCTGCAGCGTTCGCCAAGACGGAGCAGGGGGAGGCTCCAGGGAATGGACTCCCCAGCTGGAGCCCCCACGTCCCCTGGGTTACAAGTGCCCTGCACCGGCTCTGACAGCTTCACCCTCCTTCGCTGGGCTGAAAGGGAGATTTTCTTCAGCTGGTTTTTACTGTGGCAATATGGGGACTGTCCCATGCTGCTGCTGCTCCCAGATGTTTCGGGAGGAGTCCCGAGGGTCTCTGCTGCCTATGGTGAACCCTGCACCAAAGGGCTGGGGGAGGTTTGATCTTCCCAAGAGGCACCAGCAGTCTCTAGGCCTGGGAGTTATGGGCGACTAACACACAAGATGTTGGCTCCGCTCCTCAGTTGCTCGGGTTTCGCTCTCTTGCAACGCTGTCATTGGGCTAGTTCCCCAGAGGCAGCGGCGGGCTGAATTCCTAATGTCCGGAACGCCGCCCCTGCCCCGGTTCTCCCAACCACTCACGCCTGCCTCTCTCCTCCACCACCACAGCAACAAGGCATCAGCCCCGGTCTGAGAGACGCTTCCCCGGTCGCCTCTCGTGCCCACAGCAGCAGGTGAGTCTCTGTGAGGCCAGTACCCACGCTGCCCACCGGAGGGCCTGCAAAGCGGCCGGGAGACGGCCTGGATGTGACTAGGGATGACTGCTTCCGCCCAAATCTGTTCTGCGGTTAGAGGTGGGATGAATTTCTCTTCCTTTCTGCACCTTCAGGAGCGAGAATCTGAGCCTCTAAACCCCCCAAACCCCGCTGCATCCCTGCACCTGTCTGCCTAGGAGAGCGAGTGACTCGGGTGGCAGGTGGGATGGGGCAGAGATGCCCCTTGGTGCATTGTCCGCTTGTGCCGGCGCTGGGCCGCCCGCAGTCCCCTCCTGTCCTGTGTATTAGAAGCTCTAGCGGGGCTTCCCCACTTCAGCTGGATATAACTTTTGGAGGCGGGTTGTTGGGCACAGGGAGGGTGTGAGGGAAAACAAGCTCGCCCGAGCATGCACTGGAGTTTGAGGGCTGAGTGGCACGAGCTGTGGCTCTACGCTGCATGGGCATCCTGGCTGCAGCCTCAGGGGAATGGCCGGTTAGTAATATGCCCAATGGAGGGGGGAGCTGGTTGCTGCTGCCTGGCTAGCGTGTGCCTCCTGCCTTAATCCTGTTAGCAGTGTCAGCCTCTCTCCCGCTTCCCCAACCCTCACTGCAGCGGGGTTCTCACTGCCGGGCCTGTTCTCAGCATTAATGGGCTGGAAGTGGCAGAGAAATTGTCCCTCTGCTGTGCAGTGGATTCCCCATTTTGGTTGGTGAAGAGGGGCTCCTACCGCTCCTGGAGCCCTGAGTCTCTCCATGTTTTTCTGCTGTGGACCCCACCTTTCCGGGCAAAGCAATGGGGCAGAGGTCTCTTCAGAGTCCTCCGTGCTGCTGCTTACCTAGCTGGTGGTGGTGCTGCATGGTGGCAGGCATGCTGCTACCAGGCAGAGCATGTGGCCAGCGCCGTGCTGTGTGATGCATCCTGGTGACTGGGCCTAGCTCTCCTGTACGGCAGCGGACAGGCCGAGCCGCTGTCATTGACTGCTGGGATCCCAAGCAGTCAAAAGCCCCAGGCCCACAGTCACTCTGCAGGCAGGTTGGGACTAGACTGCCGCTCCTGGGGCGAGCGAACTGTTTAGTGCAGGGCTTGCTAAGCCCGGAGGTGCCACTTCGCCATTTGGCGCACTAGACGCAGAGCTGGAGGGGGCTTTGGTGCAAACGGGGCCATACTGTCTGTGGAGATGCTGGGAAGGGGAGATGCCTATGGGCAGGGCTCTCTGCTCTCCACAGGCGGCTGCCTTGAGGCCGTGTTGGGCCTGGCTGCGTGAGGAAGCTGCACTAGGTTAAGCAATTTCCAAGTGACGTGGTTAATCTGGTACAGAGCCCTGGGTGGGCACGAGCTGGGGCTCTCGGGGTTAGCTCACGCCGATGGGGAATGGGATTACGCTGAATCACACTAACCCACGCTCCAGCCCGTGACTTGGTGTGTCGTAGGTGACTATAGAGTGCAGGCCCTGGCTGCAGATTCAGAGCCGCTCTCAAACTGAAGTAATGGGCTTAACCCCCCTCTCAGCAAGGGGTGTGTGACTTTCCCATGTAGACAAGGCCTGCGAATGGCGAACGCTGGCACAGAGACTGGCAAGGGTTTCCCAGTAGGCTGGCACCTGTGGCTAGGATTCGCTCTGGATGGCGGTGGGTGGGTGGGGATCTGCTGCCTGTGCATGAAGGACTTAAGGCTTCCAGCACCGAGACAGGCTCAACTGTCCCAAATCTGCCCCCGTTCCTCCCTGCCCCTCGCCAGCCCCCTCCTTCTCCCACAACAAGCCTGCCACGGTGGCTGCTGTCCCTGCTGCTCACTTTAATTACCTACGTTTTTGTGTTGGTGCCATCCGCGCTCTGCTCCATCCCCCTTGGGTGCAGTCGTGCACTGCAGGACCCGAAATGGGACACTAGCTTTCCCCCCGCTGGGTAAGCGGAGTCCAGGAGCCACCTGGCTAGTAGCCCTTGTGTTTTAGCTTCTCCTGAGGTGAGATGACAGCCCGGCCGTGCTCCGTCCTCACCCGCCAGCCAGTTCCCCAAAGCCGTGCAGGAGGAGCCGCCCAGAGCTTGGTACTTACGCGCCACTTTCCACCTTCAGGGAGCGGATGTTCTCGAAGCCGCACTCGATGATGGTGGGGCAGGCCGAGGTGAACTCCATCTTCTTTCCCTGGAAGTTTTCCTGGTCGTAGGCTGTGATCTGAAAGGAAGAGTCATCCCCCACGAGTGTCACTGAATCGGGGGAGGGGTGTGGTGCATGTTAACAGTCCTGCTGAACTGGGTGCTCATTGAACAAGAATTAAGGTTAATGCCCCAGCTACAGCTGGACACGGCGTGGGCTGCATCTGTGCCCACAGTGCTGACCCCCAGTGCCCCTGTTATTCCAGCTATGGAGCTCTATCACCTAGCTGGGACTTGTAGCACTCAGGTGCAAGGGAGGTCAGACCAGCCTTGGCCACATGGACGTGTTCTTTCTCACCTCCCCTACGGCGCACGCTCCTGTCTCTGGCGACGAGCTCCGGCCTCATCTGGGGCATCCCCGGGAGGGGTATGGAAGCGACCGCAGCCCCGCTGAGTGCACGGAGCCATGCTGATGCCAGGCAGGCTGCAGAGTCGACAGCCCTAGGGCTGTACTTAGAACTCACGCTAGTTCCACTCCAAAGTCTCCCGTGCAAAGAGGGTTAGGTGGAGAAAGGAAGAGCAGGAACTTTCCCGGTGCCCTGGGCTGGTGCACAGGATCATCACCTTCCCCCAGCAGCATCTGTGGCAGCAGCTTCTTTGTCTACCCCCTAGATTTACACACCTGCTTCTCTTGTTCTTTCTCACACTCCCGCCCAGCAGGCCAGAACTGCTCCCAGCACCACAGCTGCTCCCTGGCAAATATGCTAGTAAACCCCTTCGGTGGCAGCTCTGTTAGACCTCAGCCGGCTTTGCTCCAGCCACGCTTGCTCCCCCTCCCCTTCGCACTTCCACCGTCGGGCTGCTGCGCTTGACGGGCACAGGCCTTCCCGGCAAGCGCCTGCCGAAGCTGGGCCAGTGAGCATTCACGCCAGCAGTGCGCGGCCACTCCTTACCCAGGGAGGGAACTCCTGACTTCTGTGCCAACAGACCGGGGTGCTCGGCGTGGTCCAGCAGGTCAGCACTGGGCTGAGGAGACCTGGGCTTTGCCACAGGGGTCACCTTGGCCAAGTCACTTTTGTCCTTTCCCCTCCCCTCCCTGTTGGTCACATCTAATGTGTGTGCAGTGCCCAGCGCACACCCAGCGGGGGCCTCGAGCCCCTACGTGATACAATTTATAACCTGCGGTACAGCTGGGACGTACCTTCCACGGGCCCATGGGGCCAGGCAGAGGGTTTGTCTGAGCCATCTTCGCTGCGGGGCCGGTGCCTGAAAAGGAGGGAAAAGCACCACTCGCATCACAATGACACTGCCACAGAGCCAAGCAGGCTACTTTGAAAAAGCTTTTTGGCAGGCGCTTGCTAGCGCCCACCATCCTGTCATTCATTGGGTCACCCCTCCATTCACTGCGGCCCCATGCGCTCCCCGTTGTCCCCTGCAGAGGGCGGTGTGGGGCAGCGCTGTTCTCAGTGGCCACCACTGGGCATGCCTGACATGAATTGAGTGAAAGAGAACGCGCCTGGCAGCAGGCCGGGACCGAGACTAGTCCAGGGCAGCTGCAACCTTGTGAGGCAACTGGGGACAGGTAGAGACACACCCCATCATGGCTTGGTACAGGTACAGATCTACACACAGACCCCCCCACACACACACACCCCACCATGGCTTGGTACAGGTCTACAC